CATTTTAGGACCTCCCTTAACTTGACAAAAATACAAGGCCATAACTAAAGGGTGTACACATCATGGAAATTTTCCTGACTTAGGTCAAGATGGCATCTTAAAGCCTGAACATCTTTATCTACTTAGGGTTACCACATTATATTATGTACTAAAAGAGTCGTAGAGTAGCCTTGAAGCTTGTTTATGCATTATTGTTATTGTAATTCGTCTGGGACAAAATGGTGTAAACATAAGCACTGAAGGTAAGTAAGAAGTTATTGCTTAAAGAAACATGTATGAAAAACAATATGTTCCATTTCTAACACCTTGTCAGTTTGCAATATCTCTTAAAGACAAAGTACACAGTTTGAGGAATACAATATTTGCATTTGCCCATAACACCCTCTCCATTAAACTGTGGTCACTGTAGAGCATTTGTTCCTTAAATTAGTAAACCAAAGTTCTCCAACAGTGTTTAGGTTTTTGTGCTCCCAGCATCTTTGATCATTGTTGTAGCGGTAAAACATCCATAGTGTGATCTTTGCATGTAAAGGTGGTTGATTAAAATGAGCAAAGCTTTTGTCTGGGACAGAATTGAAAAGAACATCATGTTCCAGAGTAGGATATTCTTGGATGGATCCTGATAGGAATTGTAATCCAAAGTTAAAAATAGTAATTGTATTTGTAATCAAAAGTCTTTAAAGGCCTGTAGAAGTTGTTTACATTCCTTAGATACATTGCTGGAGGTTGTGTTTGTAGCATACCCGGGTATTAGTTGTATAGTGTTGGTTGTAGAGTCCAGTTATCCAAATATTTGGCTAGAATTGGTTGCAGATATTGAATCAGCATCATCTCTTAGTGATGGTGTTGGTATTTGTCTTTGTCTCTGCTTGTTTGTTTTTTGTTCTGCTTTTTTCCATGAAACATTTTTTACACCGTTTATGATGTGTATAGATTGGATACTCTCTGATATTCTTTTACGGAATACATTAAAAAATAGCATTTTCAAGACATTGTTTTAAGTGACATGGATCCCATTGTAGTAAATGTTATATTGGTACAGCAATCATAGTGGTATTTCAAGAACTCCTCTTTTTGCTGTATTGGAATCTTGGTAACACCTCTACATCTTAATGATAGACATACACCCTGTTCCAAATTATTATGCAAATTCTATTTAAGTGTCACAAAGATTAAATATTTTGTTTTTCAATTTTACTCATGGATGACATTGTGTCTCAAGGTTCTTTTGATCACTGATAACAATCTCAGACACCTGTGATAATTAGATTGCCAGGTGAGCCCAATTTAAGGAAAAACTACTAAAGGAGGGTGTTCCACATTATTAAGCAGAGCACCATTTTCATGCAATATGGGGAAGAAAAAGGATCTCTCTGCTGCCGAAAAGAGTGAAATAGTTCAATGCCTTGGATGAGGTATGAAAACATTAGATATTTCACGAAAGCGTGATCATCGCACTATTAAGAGATTGGTGGCTGATTCAGAGCACAGACGGATTCATGCAGATAAAGGCACATTGAGGAAGATTTCTGCCAGGTCCATGCATCGAATCAAGAGAGCAGTTGCTAAAATACCATTACACAGCAGCAAACAGATATTTGAAGCTGCTGGTGCCTCTGTAGTCCCACGGACATCAAGGTGTAGAGTCCTCCAGAGTCTTGCAACTGTGCCTAAACCTTCTGTTCAGCCACCACTAACCAATGCTCACAAGCAGAAACAGCTGCATTGGGCAGAAAAATATATGAAGACTAATTTTCAAACAGTCCTGTTCACTGATGAGTGCCACGCAACCCTGGATGGTCCAGATGAATGGAGTAGTGGATGGTTGGAGGACGGCCACCCTGTTCCAACAAGGCTGCGACGTCAGCAAGGCGGTGGTGGAGTCATGTTTTGAGCCAGAATCATGGGAAGAGAGCTGGTCGGCCCCTTTAGGGTCCCCGAAGGTGTAAAGATGACCTCTGCAAAGTATGTGGAGTTTCTGACTGACCACTTTCTTCCTTGGTACAGTAGGAAGAACTATGCTTTCTGTAATAGAACCATCTTCATGCATGACAAAGCACCATCTCATGCTGCAAAGAATACCTCTGCATCAATGGCTGCTATGGGGATAAAAGGAGAGAAAGTCATGGTGTGGCCTCCATCCTCCCCTGACCTCAATCCTATTGAGAACCTTTGCAGCATCCTCAAGCAAAAGATCTATGAGGGTGGGAGGCAGTTTACATCCAAACAGCAGCTCTGGGAGGCTATTCTGACATCTTGCACACAATTTCAAGCAGAAAACTGTCCAAAAACTCACAAGTTTAATGGATGCAAGACTTGTGAAGTTGCTATCAAATAAGGGGTCCTATGTGAAAATGTAACGTGACCTGTTAAAATGTTTAAAAAGTCAAAATGTTGTTATAAGTTTGATTGAAATCGCTTTTGATTTCAGTAAATATGCTGCAAACACAACAAATGACAATTTTCAGTTCTTTACAACCTATAAAGTGTTTTGAAACTTACTGTGCATAATAATTTGGAACAGTGCATTGTACGTTTTTATGTTTTTTAAAAAAAAAAAAAAATACTGTTATCATTAGGAGGTTTGTTCAATAAAATTTGAATTGTACTCTTAACCCCTTAAGGACCAAACTTCTGGAATAAAAGGGAATCATGACATGTCACACATGTCATGTGTCCTTAAGGGGTTAATAGTTGATAACATGATAATTATGCTGACTGTTATTTACATAAATTATTTAGGTAAATGAGAAAAATATCATTTGCATAATAATTTGGAACAGGGTGTATAACGACATCAGGTGCTGTTGTGCTAAAAATGTTAACAGGTAAAATCTGTGGAAAAATCTTTACACTTGTTATACTTTGTATAATAATGATAGATGAAATAGTAATATAAATGAATAGTACTACCTAGTTAGACAACCCAACTTGGAGTACCAAAAAGTGGGTGAATGAGGTGGCAAAAGGGCATAACCCTATAGTGGATACAGAAAAGAAAATAGCAAAAGTGGAGGATAGATCGCCTCGTGAAAAGACCGGGCTGATCACCTCCACGCCACCTCAAAACGACGTCTCAAAAATAATAAACAAATTTATTGAAAAAAATCTTAATAAAATCAAAAAGGAAGACACATCTATCTCTAGATAGAATAAATAACTAGAGCCCAATATATACAGAAAGTATGGCTAGTATATAAATATGTAAATATAATGCAGTATAGCAAATACCAATAGATAGAGTATAATACATATATATATACATAAGAGCCATAGACTGTACATTGCAAGCCCGATACAGAATATAGAATATGGCTGAATTATAGACGCAATATTATAATAAATATCTGTGCAAAAGAGTGAAAAATTAATGTAGTAATACATATATAAAGAGCCATAAATTCTGCACTAAGAAACTAATTGCTGCAGAGTGTGGCTAGATAAACCATATCAACATGTGGCAAAATCGTAGTATAGTGAGACAATGAATCACAGTGTAAAGCCACAATAATAGCCAAAACCTCTGCTGCTGTACCTACAGGGTAAATTAGAAATCGAAAGGATAGAGGAGGGCATAGATAAAAGAGGAAAAATACAGCAGAAAGACCTGATAGTAAATCTACATAAGGTCTAAATGCAGGGCCGGATTAAGAGCACAGTGGGCCTGGTGCTGACAATTATGATGGGCCTAATTACGGAATCTTATTGACCAAAAACACTAAAACAGTCATACCTCCCAAGCGTCATGTATCTGATGGAGATGGTGCTGGAGGGAAACTCATAGGATGCAGCTATAAGAAAACACATACTCTATGCTAATCCCTCTCTAATGTATGATTTCATCTTTCAAGTAAATCCATAACCCTTAACAGCAGTGTCCAGTGAAGCAGGAAGTCAATGGGCGGTGTAAAAGGGTGTGCCACTGTCCCTAGTGTCTTAGTGTCCCCAAATGTTTCAGTGTCCCCTAGTCTCCCAGTGTCTCAGTGTGTCCCCATGTCACTAGGATACTGGGGACACTGAGAGACCCAGGGACACTGAGACATTTAGGGAAACTGGGAGAAATGGGGACACTGAGACATTAGGGACACAGACACTGGGAGACATGGGGACACTGAAACATTTGTGGACACTAGGGACACAGACATGGGAACACAGACACTGGGAGACTAGGGGACACTGGGAGACTAGGGGACACTGGCTGGGAGACAGACACTTGGGGACACGGGGACAGTTGTGGACATAGACATGTGGACACTGGGACATATAGGGACACTGGGAGACATGGGGACAGCAGGCACACTGAGACACTAGGAACACACTGGGAGACATGGAGACACTGAAACATATGGGGACACTAAGACACTAGGGACACAGACACTGGGAGACTAGGGAACACTGGGAGACTAGGGGATACTGGGAGACTAGGGGACACTGGGAGACTAGGGGACACTGGCTGGGAGACAGACACTTGGGGAGACATGGGGACAGTTGTGGACATGGACATGGGGACACTGGGACACATGGGGACACTAGGCACACTGAGAGACATGGGACACAGACACTGGGAGACTTGGGGACACTGAGACACTAGGGACACTGGCTGGGGGACATAGTGTCTCCATGTCCCAATGTCTCCCAATGTCCCTATGTCTCACAGCGTCCCCATGTGTCTCAGCATCACCATGTGTCTCAGTGTCCCCTAGTGTCTCAGTGTCCCCAGGTCTCCCAGTGTCTGTGTCCCCATGAGTCCTAGTGTCTCAGTGTCCCCTAGTGGCAGTGTCCCCATGTGTGTCCTAGTGTCTCAGTGTCCCCTAGTGTCTGTGTTCCCATATGTCCCCAAGTGTCCCCATGTTTTCCAGTGTCCCCAAGTGTCTCAGTGTCCCCTAGTGTATGTGTCATCATGTGTGTCCTAGTGTCTGTGTCCCCTAGTGTCTAAGGGTCCCCATGTGTCCCCTAGTGTCTCAGTGTCCCCTAGTGTATGTGTCCCCATGTGTCCCCTAGTGTTTTAGTGTCCCCAATGTGTCCCCTAGTGTCTCAGTGTCCCCATGTGTCCCTGCTGCCTTTCCTCCGATCCCTCACTTACCTGAGCTGTAGAGCTGCTGTCTGGACTCCCTGTGCTGTGTAGCTGCTCCCCCACTGATCAGTGAGTAGTAGAGAGAGGCAGGGATATTCTGTAACTTCCTATCCCTGCCTCTCTCCACACACAGTGACCCCTACTGGCCGGTGCTGGTATTGCAGAGTAATTTCCATTTATTCTGAGAAAATTACCTGCATTTGTATTGCTGGTATTACTGCAATACTGGCAAGGCCAGGCAGCCTCAAATACCGTCTGTGCCATTAAAATACCAGTCAGGTGGCAAACCTAAGAGTAGTGTGTAAAAAAAAAAAAAAAAAAATTTTTTAAATGGGCCTATTCCATGGGCCTGGGCCTGGAGCTGCAGCTCCATCAGCCCCTATGTTAATCCGGCCCTGTCTAAATGCCTAAACCCGATAAACAGCCCACCTATCACTAAATAAGATAGATTTACTATCAGGTCTTTCTGCTGTATTTTTCCTCTTTTATCTATGCCCTCCTCTATCCTTTCGATTTCTAATTTACCCTGTAGGTACAGCAGCAGAGGTTTTGGCTATTATTGTGGCTTTACACTGTGATTCATTGTCTCACTATACTACGATTTTGCCACATGTTGATATGGTTTATCTAGCCACACTCTGCAGCAATTAGTTTCTTAGTGCAGAATTTATGGCTCTTTATATATGTATTACTACATTAATTTTTCACTCTTTTGCACAGATATTTATTATAATATTGCATCTATAATTCAGCCATATTCTATATTCTGTATCGGGCTTGCAATGTACAGTCTATGGCTCTTATGTATATATATATGTATTATACTCTATCTATTGGTATTTGCTATACCGCATTATATTTACATATTTATATACTAGCCATACTTTCTGTATATATTGGGCTCTAGTTATTTATTCTATCTAGAGATAGATGTGTCTTCCTTTTTGATTTTATTAAGATTTTTTTCAATAAATTTGTTTATTATTTTTGAGACGTCGTTTTGAGGTGGCGTGGAGGTGATCAGCCCGGTCTTTTCACGAGGCGATCTATCCTCCACTTTTGCTATTTTCTTTTCCAAAATAGTAATATAGTTAATCTTTCTAGTGTTTTGTTTTAAAGATAAACACCCTTGTATATGATTTAGATATATAAGGATAATTTGAAGCAGCAAAGTATTTACCGCCTTTTTCACAATGGTATGTAAAATTGCATTCTTACATAGTTACATAGTTACATAGCTGAAAAGAGACTTGCGTCCATCAAGTTCAGCCTTCCTCACATTTGTTTTTTGCTGTTGATCCAAAAGAAGGCAAAAAAACCCAGTTTGAAGCACAATTTTGCAACAAGCTAGGAAAAAAATTCCTTCTTGACCCCAGAATGGCAGTCAGATTTATCCTTGGATGAAGCAGTTATTACCCTACATTGAAAGATTATGTCCTTGAATATTCTGTTCTTGCAAGTATGCATCTAGTAGCCGTTTGAACATCTGTATGGACTCTGATAAAACCACTTCCTCAGGCAGAGAATTCCACATCCTGATTGTTCTTACGGTAAAAAAACCTTTCCTTTGCCTTAGACGAAATCTTCTTTCTTCCAGTCTAAACGCATGGCCTCGTGTCCTATGTAAAATCCGGTTTGTGAATAGATTTCCACAATGGTTTGTATTGGCCCCGAATATATTTGTATAATGTTATCATTTTTCCAAACTAAATAGGTTTAAATTTGTTAACCTTTCTTCATAGCCGATATGTTCCATTCCTTTTATTAATTTTGTAGCCCGCCTCTGCACTTTTTCTAGTGCCATAATATCCTTCTTTAGAACAGGTGCCCAAAATTGCACAGCATATTCAATATGGGGGTCTTACCAGTGATTTATAAAGAGGCAAAATTATATTCTTGTCCCGAGAATGAATGCCCTTTTTCATGCATGACAATACCTTACTGGCCTTGGCCACTGCTGATTGACATTGCACATTGTTGCATGGTTTGTTGTCTATAACAATTCCCAAGTCCTTTTCGTGTGTTATCCCTAATTCGCTTTACACCGTGGAACCATGCTGATTTTTGCTGATAACCATGTTCTTCTCAAGGAATTCTTGAATATTATCCCTTAATAACCTTTCAAATATTTTACCAGCCACAGAAGTTAAGCTCACAGGTCTATAATTTCAGGCAAGGATTTTGAACCCTTTTTGAATATAGGAACCACATCTGCCTTCCTCCAATCCTCCGGAACACTTCCTGAAAGAAAAGAATCTTGAAAGATTAAAAACAGGGGTTCACTTATTTCTGCACTTAGTTCCTTAAGTACACGTGGATGGATACCGTCAGGCCCTGGAGCTTTGTTTATATTAACTTTCTTTAGTTGCTGCAGCACCTTGTCTTGAGTTAACCAATTACAATTATTCTGCAAGTTTTTAGTAACAATCATTTGCACATCTATTGCCATGGGTTCTTCCTTAATATATACGGAGGAGAAATAGTTATTTAAAATTCCTGCCTTTTCCTGGTCTTCATTAACTAACACCCCGTTTCAGTTTTTAGTGTACCTACACTTTCATTTTTGTTTTTTTTAGAATTTATGTACTTAAAAAATGCTTTGGGGTTGGTTTTGCTCTCTTTAGCTATCATTTTTTCATTTTGAAGTTTAGCAAGTCTAATTGCCTTTTTACACGCATTATTTGCTTCCTTATATCTTTTATAAGATGCATCCGATTTGTCCGATTTAAGTGCTTTAAATGCCCTTTAGGACACTATATTGTGATCACTTTTTCCCAAGTGCTCACCTACTTCAGTGTTGGTCAAAAGAGCAACGTTGTTTGTTAAAACCAGGTCCAGACAAGCATCCATTCTAGTTGGTGTTTGTACAAGTTGTGACATGAAGGTGTCATTTAACAAGTTTAAAAACCTAATTCCCTTTGCTGAGCAACTAGTCCCTCTGTCCCAATTTATGTCCGGGTAATTAAAATCTCCAATAATTAAAGTGTTACCCAGATTTGCAGCTTTCTCAATTTGCTCAAAGAGCTGTTGTTCCTCGTCAATATTAACATTAGGTGGTTTATAACATATCCCAACCAATAGTTGGTTTCCCTTCTTTTCCCCCAAGCAGATATTTACCCATAAAGCTTCCACATTTTCCTCATCGCATTCCATTTGCTTAAGATTTGGCTTTAAATCATGGTTGACATACAAACATACCCCACCACCCTTCTTGTTTTTCCTATCCTTCCTAAATAACATGTACCCATTTAAGTTAACTGCCCAGTCATGTGTCTCATCCCACCATGTTTCAGTTATGCCTATTATATCATATTGTTTAGTGTATGCTAATGCCTCTAGTTCCCCCATTTTGTTATTTAGGCTCCTTGCATTAGTAAGCATACATTTAATATTATGCGTCACTTGTATATTTTGTGAATTATCATCATTACATAGCTTCTCTGTTCTGAGCTTGCCCCTCCCCCCATCTCCACCCCCCTTATACTGTGCTAAAGCCCATCTCCTTTCTGTCTTATCTCCATTTTGTAGATTGCTATGACCCTCCCCCCTACTACTAGTTTAAAATCTCCTCCAACCTTCTAGCCATCCTATCCCCCAGCACTGCAGACCCTCTCCCACTTAGGTGCAATCCATCACCACTATAAAGGTTGTACCAAATCACAAAGTCGGCCCAGTGCTCTAAAAACCCAAAACCCCAAACCCTCCTTACTGCACCAAGACTTAAGCCACGCATTGACCTCTCTAATCTCCCGCTGCCTTTCCACTGTAGTGCATGGCACAGGTAATATCTCAGAGAATACCACCTTGGAGGTCCTTTTCTTAAGTTTGCTACCTAATTCCCTGAAATCATTCTTTAGGACCTTTCGTCTTCCTCTTACTTTGTCATTGGTACCAACATGGACCATGACCACTGGGTCATCCTCAGCCCCTCCCAATAATCCATCCACTCTGTCAGCAACATGCCGGACCCGAGCACCCGGGAGACAGCAAACTGTCTGGTTGAGCCAATCAGAGCGGCAGATTGTCCTATCTGCTCTCCTAATGATAGAGTCCCCTACCACCACAACCTGTCTTGCCTTCCTTACATTTTGATCCCCACCCGTACTAGGGGGGTTGTTAGCTTGGCTGTTAGAAGTAACAGCTTCCTCTAATACAGCTACTCCTGAGCTGATACTCCCAACATCTTCCCTCAAACGGGTAAATCTGCTAGGTTGAACCAAATCAGGACTAGCTAGCCCTTTCCTCTTCCCTCCCCCCCTGCTTTCTCGCCCCATTGTCACCCAGCTACATGCCTGTTCCCCATCTGTATTATCTCCTCCCTCTCCACTACCTGTCCCCACTAAACTCTGCTCAGTGAGCAGCAGACTCCTCTCAAGATTGTCAATCTCCCTCAAAATTGCGATTTGCTTCTCGAGATCTCCAATCTGAGCTTCCAGAGCAGCCACTCGCACACAACCGTCACAGAGGTATGGACCCTGGACGGGTACATCCAGGCAGCCATACATGCAACAAGATGTGCATTGAGTCAAACCAGCAATCTTGCTAACACTCATTTCCCCAGAAACAGAACAAGTAATGTGAGCAAGCTCAGTGAGTTAGGGGTGTGCCTTTATGGGGATACAAATCCCACCCAGGTGCAATTAATGAACACTCCCCCAATCAATCAAGCAGCAGCACAAAAGAGGGGGGAAAACCAGAACACAGAAAAAAATAAAATAAACTTTTTTTTTTTTTTTTTAAACTTTACCAATTTTAAAGATTAAACAAAAATAAAATACAAACCACTCTCCACAGTATACAAACCACTCCAAGTAACTCCTGGTTTTCTAACCCCTACTTGAAAGAGTCTACTTAATAGAGTCTGCTTTCAAGTAATGTTAAAAATTTTAAAAATATTCCTTTATTCAAAATCTCTCAATCTATTTAGAATAGTTGATAATTGGAAACATGGCATTATTCATCTTTCTTTGTCCTGTTATGGAGAAGACAACTTATTTCCTAAAATACCAGAAACACCCAAAAACTGTCTTAAAAACATTTTTTTACCAAGATCTGACAGCCATTGTGGAAAGTCACATTCGTGAAAATGGATGCTTAACAATAAGAATCTTATTTGTTTAAGTATATTTTCCAGCGGCTGTTGGGAGTAGCTTAA